AAAAACTTTTTTTTTTGTTAAAATAGTTTTATGTTTAAAATATGTTTAAAAAATTATTAATATTCGTAGTATTCGTTTGTATTTGTATTTTCATAAATAGTTATTATAATAATATAATATCAATGAACCGATTAATTTGGAAATCATTTAGAAATCATGAAATACTGGTCAGTAGTCGGACAATAAAAACAGGTCAGACAAGTCAGTTAGCAGTTGTTGCCGCCGATAATAATAATAATAATCGGCTGGCAATTGATTTGTCGGCATTGAGATCGACGACATCAGCTATCGGTGCCGACGATATTGAGTTATTAGAAATATCATTGAAATTTATTAATAAAACTTTTGTATTTTACTCGGAAAACATGACTGAAATACTATTGGACGGTCTGAACGGTGTTCGGGTGTTCAGCGACCAGATGTCCACACTATTGGCTAGACTTAGATCAAGTAGTAGTAGTGGACGTCCTATTTTTAGCGATGATTATGGTTTAGGTGTATTGCTGGGTATTATCGATGATTTTGTTTCAATAGCTGATGAAATAATGTCAGTAGCGGTTCCAACAATTGCCAGATTAGATCCAATTGATTATCAAAGTATAGTATAAGGCGTGGTTCAAATATTACGTTCGCACTTTTTAAGAAATCTAGACCCCTCCCTCCCCTATGATCGCAATTGTTCGCATGTAGTTATTAAAAAAAAATACGTTCGCTTATCCTTAACCGCTACCCCCCCCACCACAAGAAATAAAATATATCTAAATGCTAACGTTCTTTAAGTCTCTACCCCTCCCCTCCCCCTCGTTCACAAAAGTTCGCTTTGGCTAACCCCCCCCCCTCCCCTCAAGTGCGAACGTAATATGTGAACAACGCCTAATATGATTTTATGATTATAATATTTATTTATATATTTATTTTGGATTTAAAAAATATTTGATATATAGAATATTTAAAATCAAAAATATATTTATTTTAGTTGATATACAGTATAATAGTTTTTAAAAGTTTTTTTTTTAATAAATCAGTTTTGTGTTATCAAAATATATATCAATATATATATATATATAAAGAGTAATTTAATGATTTTTTAATTTAAAAAATATAGTTTGTATAATTAATACTTATTAGTTAATAAATTATTATTATTATGTTTTTTTTCAAATATCATATTTATTAGGATTCGGCTATTTATCTAAAAAAGGTATCTATAGTCTGGAACCGGATTATACTCTGAAAGTCAACCGTAGCCATGAATTTACCGATCGTTTTGCCGATTTGTTGTCACCAATGAACTCAAACATATCCGACAATTGTATCGCCCAACTGAGCTCCGGTTGCAGTCATATCAGCGACCAGTGTTGGCAACTAATGACAGGACTGGGCTATCAAAAGTATGACCTCTCGCACGAAGTTTGGTATTTGATAATTGCATCGCAAGTATGTATAAATAGCTGATTAAAAAAACAAAATTAATGAAAGATTACTACATTATTGATATTATTATTATTATTATTAGGCGTAGTTCACATACTACGTTCGCACTTTTGGGGAGGAGGGATGTTAGCAAAAGCGAACTTTTGCGAACCAGGGGGAGGGGAGGGTAGAAACTTTAAGAACGTTCGCATTTAGTTAATATCATATTTTTATGGTGGGGGGGGGGGGGTGGGCTAGCGCTTAGGAACAAGCGAACGTAATTTTTTCAATGATTACATTCAAAGAATTGCGAACATAGGGGAGAGAGAGGGGCTCTAGATTTCTTTAAAAGTTCGAACGTAATATGTGAACAACCCTTTATGTCTTATAAAATATTCATATATAAAATTACATTTTTTTAACAAATATTATATTTTTTAAACATTTTATAAGAATAATTTACCTGTAATTTTATAATAGCAAATTCATATTGATTTATATATTGTAATTATAATAGAATATAATTATAATACAGTATTTTCCAGTTTTTTTTAAATAAAATAATTTGTAATAAATTTTAAAAATATTTTTTTTCAATAATAATTATTTTGTTTGTTTTGTTTAGCTTAACTGTCACAGAGAAATGCAAACATTTATAGTCAAACATAATCAACAATCAGTGGGAAAGTTGTTTGAAATATTTTGTACAAATATGTTGAGAGAGTGTCGGGAAATAATTGACCGAAATTTTAGTGATTTTGATGGCAATGACATGGATTTGTTTATGGAGGACAGTATGTTTCAAAACACACATTAGACATACACATACACATACACATACACATACACATACACATACACATACACATACACATACACATACACATACACATACACATACACATACACATACACATACACATACACATACACATACACATACACATACACATACACATACACATACACATACACATACACATACACATACACATACACATACACATACACATACACATACACATACACATACACATACACATACACATACACATACACATACACATACACATACACATACACATACACATACACATACACATACACATACACATACACATACACATACACATACACATACACATACACATACACATACACATACACATACACATACACATACACATACACATACACATACACATACACATACACATACACATACACATACACATACACATACACATACACATACACATACACATACACATACACATACACATACACATACACATACACATACACATACACATACACATACACATACACATACACATACACATACACATACACATACACATACACATACACATACACATACACATACACATACACATACACATACACATACACATACACATACACATACACATACACATACACATACACATACACATACACATACACATACACATACACATACACATACACATACACATACACATACACATACACATACACATACACATACACATACACATACACATACACATACACATACACATACACATACACATACACATACACATACACATACACATACACATACACATACACATACACATACACATACACATACACATACACATACACATACACATACACATACACATACACATACACATACACATACACATACACATACACATACACATACACATACACATACACATACACATACACATACACATACACATACACATACACATACACATACACATACACATACACATACACATACACATACACATACACATACACATACACATACACATACACATACACATACACATACACATACACATACACATACACATACACATACACATACACATACACATACACATACACATACACATACACATACACATACACATACACATACACATACACATACACATACACATACACATACACATACACATACACATACACATACACATACACATACACATACACATACACATACACATACACATACACATACACATACACATACACATACACATACACATACACATACACATACACATACACATACACATACACATACACATACACATACACATACACATACACATACACATACACATACACATACACATACACATACACATACACATACACATACACATACACATACTTAATATATAAATTATATAATATTTTTTTAGTTGCTTTTTGCGGATTAATTGGTTTCAAAGAGTTTACTATTGATAACAAACAGTGGCTGACATTGATTATCAACGAAAGGATTAATGATCGCAACGGTTGTTATATTTATAAATACTATCAACAAAAACAACTCAAACAACAACAACAACTAAAACAAATACAACAACTAGAAAAAGATGACGAAAAACAACAACTATTACAACAACAACAACAACAACATCCTCGACATCTTCGGTCAAAACGCAGTGAAATACCTCTCACTGATGGATGTCTACCACACAAGACATCAGTTGGTTTGGAGGCAATTACTGTCATAATTAGAGATATTATATGGCATTCAATTAGTAGTTAAACATTCAAATTGATATTATTTATAATTTTAATTAAAAATAAAATTTATTAAAAAATCAATTATTTATTAATCAATAATATCAATAATAAATAAATTTATTGTTTGAATGTAATAATTATTTAAAAAAATTGCAATGTTTTATAATTAATAATTTTTATTTATTATAATTTATAAAACATTAAATTAAAAAAATAACCAAAATAATAATAATAATTAAAAATAAATTAGTTATATTTTTGATTTTTTGTATAGCATTTTATTTTAAATAATAGTAAAAATTATTACTAGCTTATTTTCAATTATTATTTTTATGTAGATTCAAAAATCACTTTCAACAAAAAAATTAGGTGACTATAGTTTTTTTAAAAAAAATAGATTATAACAAATTTGAATAAAACAAACATATTTTGTTATGTGTTGCTGTTGTTGTTGTTGTTGTTGTTGGCACTGGTATGTTAGGCTCAGGTTGACTGTATGTTGTATCTCAAAAAAAATACAACAACAACAACAACAAAAAACAAAATTTGATTATTAATTCAATAACTAATAAATTCATTTTATTTTTTTTATTTTTTTTAAATAGAAAATAGTATTTTTCATAAACTAACATAATATAAGTTTCAATATATTATATATACAATATATATAATAATAATTATTATTATTAAAAAAAAATTACTATCATTAGTGTATTGTATTACTGACCCTAAAAAAACCAATGTCATCTATTTTTTTGAAATATACTAAACCAGAATATATATTTATTATTTTTATTAATTATAAAATTATAATTATAAAGGTATAAGAGTTAAATCGTGTCTAACGTCAGCCATATATCGCAAAGCACTGGTATTAAGCAATGATAGCAAACGGCTCACACCTAATGGAGAAATTGTCAATTTGTTGACAGTTGACTGTCAACGTATTATCGGTAGGAATATCCACCTATCTATGTAACTATCTACAGTATTAGCCTATCCCTGGGGGCAGCCTCTTATCTATGGATAGTCAATTGGATTCACCGGTTGCCAAATCGGGCGGTAATCTAAGTGTCGGTCAGCGACAACTTGTTTGTCTGGCCCGAGCACTGTTTCGTCATACGTCTGTACTGATCCTCGACGAGGCCACGGCTGCCGTCGATGTGGAAACCGATGCACTTATTCAGCAAACTATTTGCCAGGAGTTCAGTTCGTGTACTGTACTGACAATTGCCCACCGAATCAATACAATTATGGACTCGGATCGGGTAATAGTGTTCAACAATGGACGGGTAGCCGAGTTTGACGAACCCGATGTTTTATTGGCCAACAAGTCTAGCATTTTCTATACACTGGCCAGTGATGCCGGAATTATTTGATAATATATAATATATATATATATATTATTTAAAATTATATAAAATTAGTTTATTTTTTTATTTATTATTAGTTGAAATTTATTATAATTTATTTTAGATTATGAAAATATTATTCAATTATATATATATATATTTAAACATTTTTTACAAAACAATTAAAACAAAATAATTATTTATATAAAAATAATTTTTTTTATTTGTATAAACTTAAACAATTGCTTATATAAAAAAATACCGTATTATAATTTTATAACTATGTTAGATTGTTAATAAATTTATTAGATAAAAAATTATACTGTATAATTATTAAATTAATAAAACATTAATATTTTTTTATTAAAATAAGTAATTTATAAAAAATAATTGATTTTCTAATATACTGTTTAAAAATTGATTAACAAAAATATTGGTAGAAAAATATGATTATTACTATTAAAACCAATTGAAACTAACAAAATAGTGTAAATATATTTATGTGTAAACTGTATTGAAATTTGATCAAGGACAAAATTATTATTATTATTAGCTTATGTGCACTAAAAATGCACTGTGTATTTAAAATAATAGTATATAAAATATAAATATCAATAAAAATAAGTTTATATATTACTAATTGTTGTTTAGTTTTTAGATTAATGTATTAGTTATAGTTAATATTACAACATATCATATATTTTGCCTATATATGTATGTATACGAGCGCTGCAACGAACTCGGGTTAGCGGCTGTGAAGGCCGTACCGGCCGTACAACTGGTCGTCAAAATGTAGAGCACTCTTCAAACACATCCAGTTGTCCCACCCAAGTGATTGGCCGATTTGGCCGATCCGGTCGGTACTGGCGTTTCTTGCGCCACCCTTTCCCCAGCACCAGTATAGTTGTATGAATTGTTATTTAACACACAATTTTAATTATAAAATAATATTACTTTATTGTTGAGTATCAAAATTAAATACTTAATACAAAAGTATAAAACTTAGACAAAATAAGTACAGTACAAAAGTACTAAAAACTGTTAAAAACAAAGTAAAAAAAACTATTACAAAACATATACGATTATAAAAGACGACTACAATATCCAGATCCCGAGTTAGGGTCGGTTGACTCTTATATAGCTGGAGAGGGAGGTGTGGTATGTCATGCATGGGCTGATCTAAACTAACCAATTATATAATCTTAGCTACCAAAACTATAATATATATGTAATATATATTATTATGTTTTATCCCCCCACAGTTAAATAAAAGCCAACCGTTACAATAAAACAATTATAAAAATTTAAAATTATTATATATATATATATATAGTTAATATATAATTAATACTAATTATCTTATCAATCAGTACAATTATTTCCACTATTAATTAATAGGGGAAAACCTTTAATTACAGCTAAATGCCAATAATTTAGGTGAAAAACCTATTACATAAATTGGGTGAAGTGGGCACACTATGTCTACACCAAAATAAGCTGTTTGACCGATTTGACCAATTTGGCCAAATTGATCGCCCTGGTCTATTTAGTTTGACAATCATTTAATATATTTAAATTATACATTAAATGCCAATTTAGTCCTCAAATATACTTAAAACTAAAATTATTATAAAATAGTATAAGATATTTTGATTATACAATATAGATATATAATTTTTGTAAAATTTGCAAAATTGTTGTATTTATTTTTTTAAAAAAAAAACTTTATTTATTAAAAAGATTTTGCAATAAAAATCTATAGCTTTATTTAATATAACTAATTAGTATATTCAGAGTTGAATAAATGCATATTATATTTGTATTGCATATCTAATGATCACATGTTTGGTCAACAATGCAGTCAAACAGTCGATCCCTAATCACGTGAATAGATTTTAAAATTGTTATAATTGTTGACTCAATATTGTTTGCAATACATTTTAATTGATTTTTTTTGAATTAAAAAAAACTTTTGTTTGTTTATTAAACCCATAAATTTCAATTGATTTTTGTGTTTTTTTTAACAATATTTTTTTTTAAATTAAACAAATTATATTTTTGTTTGTTATATACATTTGAATGGATTCAATTCAATCGGTAATTGTATTGTTATTACTATTACTATATGTATTATTATTATTAATTATTAGTTAAATTAATTATTGATTTTTTTTTCAAGAACCCAATTGGTCAGTCCATTAGCGGTCAAACGGATGACCCAAATGAGCACTTACTTCATGAGACAAATGATGGGACAATTCATGAGACAAACATTGGGCAAACCGACTGTCAATCAGATGACACAACTACTGACCAAAGCGTCGGTGATTTTGGTGACATAACCAGTGGTCAACTCAACGGTCGATCAGACGACAAGACTGATGGCCAACCCGTCGCTGTCATTGATGACAACAGATGTGATCCAAACAGTGCCGAAACTGATGACCAAAATGATGACAAAATTGTTGATGAAATCGGTGACCAAACAGTCGGTATTAATACTGGAGGTATTATTAATGATCAAAGCGACGACTTGGATGACAACCGACTAGTCATTGATATGGATGCCGACAGAGTTGACAGTTTTGATGTACAAAATATAGATCCGACTGACAACTCAAATACAGTTCCTATACCTCCCATCGATGTCGACAATCGTAGAGAAGATAACAGTGCCGTCAGTTATGCCGATGTTGTCTATACTCGTAATGAAACCAATGGTTTGTCTTCATGTGATGTCAACAACGGAATACCCATTAATACCGATAACGATGGCCAGGGTTTGGGTACTACCAGTGCTGACAACACACAACTACGGTATGTATTCAACTGTTATTTATTACAATTTACTTTTTGGTCGATTTGGCCGATTTGGACAATTTGATCAATTATTGTGTTTTAAACTTATTATACAATATTATTACTAAACTTTGACTAAACTCATGACAGGACACCCACTCGTACTCAATCAACAACAGGTTTACCAGTATCTCCGACTCAGGAGGACTTGGATTCTTTCAATGATGAAATGTTCGCATTGGCCGTCAATAAGTTAGGAACGTGTGGACGCAATTTTGGTAAATGGATGACTCGTTTCAGTAATGCTTCTGCCAAATGTATCGAAATGGCCAGCAGTCAGATGTCTGGACGGGTTAGTACTTCAATTGATAACTTTATAGCTGAACCCATGGACGACACTGACGTCTCAGTGGACCAATCGGGTGATGAATCCGTCGATAACAGAGACACTGGTAATAAACGTAAGCGTATGAATTCTGGAGTACAGGTATTATCTATTTTAGTTCATTATTAGAAATGTTGTTATAATTAGTTTTTTTTTAGCAAAATATTTGCAATCGTTGTCCTATTGACAGCTGATGTCAATAGACTTCACTTTGAATTACAAGAGTCACTTAATATAGTCGAGTCGTATAAACAGAGATTTGACACAATCGGTGATCAATTGTAAGGTTTTATTATTCACTTATTGAGTATTTTAGTTAATAGTTATTATTTTTTTTAGTAAAGAGTTTGCTCAGAGTGTCGGGCCTGATATGTTAGGTGTTAACTGGCTTAATGTTTTGGCCAATGAGGGATCGGCCGACTCGAACAATTTGGACAATTTGAACGATTCAGACGATAACACAGACGTTGAAGGCAATCAGGTTGACGGTGGCGATGGAGTTAGTCTGGGAGGCGTTGAGTGGACAAATGACGGTCACAATGTTCCCATTGATCGTAGACTACATATGGTATCACAGTCTAACCGAGCCATCAAATTGGGATCTCATTGGGGTTTAAGTCCCGACATAATTCCCACCGAATCTGGATATTTAGAAACTATTTCTGGAAGTAATCAAAAAGTCATCCAACTGTATGGACACCTGACCAACGCCAACGCAGTTAAAGACAAACAACGATTGTTTGAAAGCTATCAAAAATCGTCATATATGGGATGGGAAGTGTTAACCGGTAGGACTGTTCATCAGTTTGTTTTTTTCCGGTTATACTCGCCTTGTTGTCCCATATGTGGGCAATGTTTGGCTACCGGACCTAATTCGACTGTCCACGACATAAACAATCATATGAAAGTAAAGCACTACATGATGAACACCTCGACATTAATTCACGCCAAACTTCATATCGTTAGTTAGGCTGTTATTTGTTCGTTTTGTTTGGGTATATATAACAATAATTGATATCTAATTCAAATATACATTTATTTTGTTTGAAAAAAACATTTAAAAAATTACTTTTTTTTGTCTATTCTTTTAAACAATTAGTAAAAACAATAGTAAATAGTAATTAACATTAATAAAAAAATCATTATTTAATTTATGTTATTATATATATATCTTAAAAGTTATGAAACTATTTAGTTAAACCAATTAATCAATTTTGCCAATTTGGCAAATTTTTTTTTTAACTATATTGTAACTATTTTGACAAATATATATGTAGAAAATATATAGAATATTACAGTAAATTATTTTTTTATAAAAAAAAATATTTGTGATAAATTATTTTTAAATATTTTTTTAAGGTTACAAATATAATTATGTGTATAAATATAATGATATAATTATGTATAGATATTATTTTAGTACTAATAAAAAAATTGTTTTGTTTACTAAATATTTTTTTTTTAAAAAAAAATAATTTGATTTACATATTAGTATTATAAATATAGACTTTTTATTTTATTGTAAATCAAACTAAACAATCACACTAAAAATAACAGTATTTCAATTTAACACACATTATTTTATAACGTTTTAAATAATATGTATGAAAATTATTGTTTAAAAATTATTATTTTTTAAAAATTAAACTGTATTTACAATTTAATTATTACTGTATTAATAAATCTATAAATATATTTTTTTTGATTATATCTATTTAATAATTTAATAATTTTTTTTGGTTGTTGATAAATACATAATTAAAAGCAAATTGCTTTTATTAGAAATAATATATAAATACTGTAATAATAATCATGTTTTTTTTGTCAATTTTGTCAATTTGGC